CACTAACAGTCATATCTCATGTTTTTTTATGTACATTAATATTTGGTAGAGATCACCCTGTTTATTAAGCGCTTTGTCATAATTTTGTTCAATAAAAGACATGTGAACGTACGTGATGATTATGTAAATTGATAAATTCCCGCAAGGAATCATCTACATGAAATGGTCCCTCCCCCCTTTTGATTCTCATTGTCCGAAAAAAAAAAAAAAAATCCCGACCGTTCGCGTTTCTAAATTTTACCGAGTCTATGCCATAAACAAACGACGATTCAGTCGATCATATGATTTAATTCCATCAAAAGAATGTTTGATTTGGATTCATTAAATCTCGTTCCCTTTCCCTGCGAACAACTGGATTCCTTTAAAGGTGATGGCTGACCTTTTTGTTTCCCTTGAAGCATGATTTGATTATGTACGCATCCATTTTTGGAATGTTCACCGATCGAAATTTTACTTGTTATTATTATCATCCAATTAAAAGTTAACGGTAAGGTGACGATGACATTCCCACGTTTTTTTATGGAACCAATTATTAGAAAATTAGTAATATATAGTGCATGTCGGGTCGCTTTAAATTTTCTTTCCCTAGGGTTTCGGGAATGATCTTAATAAATTTTTTGTTTTTAACAAATAAAATAATTTAATGAATCTAGATTTGATTTCATAACCGAAATTAAATTACTTGAACCTTTTCCAAATGCATACATATTTTTTTATCGTTACATATTGCGCGTAAAAATCCAATTTTTAAAGTTTTTAAATATAATAAATTGAAAATCCAATCCAAGGAAAGAACCACACGCTTATTATTATTATTAATACAGTTGTCAAAAAAAAAAAAAAAAATTTTTATCTCCTAAAGATAATCCTTATTTATAACATTGAAAAAAAAAACCATGATAAAATTTTCTTTGTTCATTTTTAATAAATATTAGGTAATCTAATTAATCTACAAGGTTCATGAATGAAAAGAATGTTATTATTAAATGAGGAAATTGTTATTAAGGATCTAGTTCAATTAGATAATATTACCAAATCGTTTCTAAGTAATACATGGTGATGATTAATAAATTGTGATTATTCTTCATCTTATAAAGGAATAAATCAATATTACGAAAAAATCATATGCGGAAAAAATGTTTGTAGATCCAACTAATCATAATTAATCCTCATATAAAAGGATTATCGGTCCTTTTTTTTTTTTTTCAATCGAAAATTATATCCTTCGTTTCTTTAAAATAATGAGATCGTTTTGAATCTTTTTATTAATAAAAGTTAGATCCGGAGGTGTTCCGGCAGGCAAAAAAAAAAATTTGATGCAAATCCAAACCTCATGGTCTTAAGAGAGAGACATAAAAGAAAAGAAACGGGTCAAATTAACCGTATAGGGAAATCGCGAAAGAACAAGAAGGGGTCGAGGCTCGGCATATTTTTTAGGGGATTTATAATAAGATTAATATTTTTACGTAATAAGTTTGTTTGCTACAAGGAAGTTTAGAAAGTATATCTAAATTGTGGTATGAATAAGATTCGTTCCCCCTTAAAAAGATTGACCGTTTTAATTTTTGAATATAGTACGGTAGAACTAATAAAAAAAAATGGATTATCCTTTACATTGAATTTTTGTCACGTTTCATTTTATTTGAAAGAATATCACGTGAAATTAAATATACATTTGAGGGAAATTATGATTAATTTTAGCGAAAGGTTTTAATTCTAGAATTTGAGTCATGTGATATGGGAAGGTTTTCAATATCTTGCCCAGTTTCACCACCCCCGCGTGATCATAGAAATATTTGTCACCCTGCGTCACACCCTTCGCGTTTTCTATTTTCATAAGTATTCTGAGAACTTGGAATTTTTTCGGGAGAGAAATCATATCTGTCACCTGTTATTCGTCACAAGGAAAATTTCTTTAATGCCGTAATGCCAGCCAAGCGTCACGTGGGGGTGGAAAATTTGTTGGGTAAATGGTTTTAATGTTCGGATACTAATTTACTTAGTGTTCTCGTAATTTCCCTTATAAAAGATTGAACAGTCTGATTTATTAATTAGAATGGTTTCGCAGTTTAGTGCAAAAAAAAAAAAAAAAATTTTGGATGATTAATGAAATAAAAAAAAATAAAAAAAAAAAAGAATCGTTCAAACCATACATGTATAGCTTTTAAAGTATAAATACCTTACTTACATACATTAATAAAAATGAACCATATCAATTCTATTCGAATAATTATATTTTTCTTTTCCAACGATACCAGCCACGGCAATTTCTAAAGTCGACTCAGTTAGTATTTCCGGTCGAATCAACTAGCGACAGAGTCTGAAATTTAACAATCGTAACTTTATTATTAGTAAACTAAAATTTTTTAAATCACATTTTAATTGAAATCGCCAGGAAACCATTTGACTAAAAATTTGAAACTTTATTTTGTCGAAATTTCTAGAGAGCTTGAAAGTAGGATATGGATATTCGAATATGAATCGAAAATAAAATCATTTCAAATATCGTAAATGAACTCCTACAAAAGAAACTTTCCCAAAGACATGAATGACGATTGCTTTATTGCATACTAACCTTTTATTAAATGGGCTGATCCAGTTCTCTGGTTCTATTATTTATCTAAATAAATCATGTGTTTCGATTGGATCGATATTATTGATCATTCCAGTTAAACGTTTCGATTGGAATGATATTTTGATCGTTCCAATTAAACGATTCTTTTATCGTTCGATTGCATTATATATAATAATTTCGATTTCCGTTTTGAACTTAATTTTTTTCGAATATTTGAAACTCGATTTGAATTTTTAAACGGAAACTTACACGGAATCGATTCTGATTTTTTTTTTTTTTTTTTTTTTTTTTTTTCAAAAAAGAATTAGCCGAGAAAAACAGTAGTTAATATTTGTCATGAAAAAAAAAAAAGAAGCTTTATATGCCTTTTCATGAATTGAGTTAGTAATTTGCTTTTTCATACATAAATCCCATATCAAATATCTTGAGAATTCATTTGAAGGATTATAATTTTTCTTGATTCACAAAACGTACCACCATTTCGAGTTGTCTTTAGTTTGTTAAAAAAAAAATTAAAAATTATTAATTATTAATAAATCATCAAATAAAAATAAAAATTGGATCTCACATTTTTTTGTTCGCTTATATCATGTACTTTAAAACTTAGCTCAAAGGGATTAATTATTTTCATCGTTCTACTTTTTTATTCATCTTTCTCTAATTTCCTTAAAACTTGCCACAGTATTTATTAACATCCTTAATCACATGATTGACTATATATAATTAATTTCAAGGGAGCCTCCAAATAAATTGTTTTACAGTAAGAACCGGTTTATTTAAATGACCCGAATTTATGTTTCATTACATTGTTTTTGTTACCTTTTGCCGAAAAATCTTTTTTACTGTATATGAAACGAATATTTGTGAAATTTTACCTGGACCCTGGCAATGATGTCTTGAACAAAATTTGCATTTTAAAAAAAAAATTTGAAATTTTTCAGACATTTTCAATATTTTTTTTTTTTTTTCATGTTAAATTATTTAAAAATAATTTAAATAATCATGTTACCACAGAAAAAAAAAAAATAATAATAATTAACGGAACGACAACAAAATGATTATGTAATGGGACATGATAATCATGAGCCCAAACTACTAAAATAAGCTCTGTTTTGCAAATCTGCACTCTCTTTGGCTCGTAATTCCCGTTTCGGCACCATTGATCTTGGTAACAGGTATGAAATCAAGTTTTTGATTTCTACATATTATTATTTCAAATTTCGTTATACAATTCGAAACGAATGTTCGTACATATACTTTAAATCACAACCTCGATTTTCAATCAACAATCGCGAAACCTTTGGGATTCTTTTTTTCTTTGTTCAAAAATTTTGATTCATAACCCTCGGCAAAACAAATTTCGTGGGGGGGGTTTTTTTTTTTTTTGCGGAAAAATTATGCACAGATTCATACCCCCCCCCTTTTGCATAGGCATCAATGGAGTGGGAAAACTTTTTGATGTTCTCCAAAAAGGACAATTAATATTTGTGCTGTTGTAATAAAATAATAATACGGACCTTCAATTCGGGCTGAAGAATCCACATTTAACATTCAGGGCATGACTTGCAGATTATCGGAACGTTTGTCCATTCTTCTCCGATAAATTTACTTTGTATAAAAATGAGATGCATGTCATGTCGTTACAAAAAAAAAAAAAAAAAAAGGAAAGGAAATAAGGATTTTGATTGTTCAAAATATGCTTACATGAAAACATGAATATTTTTGGCTAGCGTCTTGCAAGAAAAACGTTATTTTAAGTAACATAGTTACCATTTTAATATGAAAATGTTTTAAAGTAGATAATTATTGACAAATTTTCTGTATATGAAGAAAGTATTTATTTGCATTCTTATTTTAATTTTTTTTTTTGTTGTTGTTGTTTCCAAGCATGCAGATACAACATCATCAACAATAACAATAACAATAACAATAATAATAATAATAATAATAAAATAAAAATGGTGATAAACGTAGTAACAATCATGATAACATTGTCAAAATGGATACGACCCCTTTTGGGGGTAAAGGTTTATATCTATCTACACGCGACTTGCATAAACTAACAAGATTTAAAGTCACAGGTCATGGATCAATTTCTAGAAATGCGCCCGCGTTGATTGGGTGCCGATCTGCTGTGTTATTTATTTAATTGTATATTGTAATTATTTCTTTACTTTACTTATTCACATGTAGACTTTACCTATTTCTGTAAACCACCCCAACATAATAAAGAAGGTTGAATGGATGGCGCGTAAGAAATTAGGGTTAACAAATCTATCTGTAAAAATGGTGTAATCATTAAAATATCTGCAGATGCAAAACTTTACCCAATCGAGGGGAAATTTCTAACAATTGAGCAAAAAGTCCCACAACATTATTTGTGAAATCGATATCACTATAAATAAATAAATTAAAGTTTCCAATATCAACTTTTATCAAAGGAAGAAACATAAGAAGGATGATTACGCCAATGTCGTGTAACAATCGAATGGACCCGTGAAATTTCCTAAAAAAAATGAGAAATCTTTCATTATTATTAGAAAGATAATCTCTTTAAAAAAAAAAAAAAAAAAAAAAAGAAATACGTGAGAGTTTGATAAGAAAGGACAACCCTTTCTGATCACTCCAAAAGTGTTTAAATTGATGACAACTTTGAAATCAGAAACCTTAATTTCCCACCATCTCGGCATGTTACACGGCGAAATACAATGCGACATGAAAAAAAAAATGATGTTATGCGAGGTAACATCTTAAGTTTTGATAAAACGCGTGTCAATGCAAATTTCTTTTTCTCCTACCATATAAAGATTAGAATTACCGAGTTATCGGTCACGTAATTATCAAAATTTTGATGAGATATATTGACCGTGATCTTTAGGACGTGTTGCTCCCGTCATGAGACGCCCACTTACTTGGTTAAATCCTCTGGGAAGACGTTTCGGGTTAAATTGAACTATTGAGTTACCAATTTACGTTACGGATGTTTCCCCATTTGATTCGATAGATTAGCCAATAACACCAAGCGCATGACGCAAGCAAGCATAAGTAGATAATTTATTTATTATGTTTTGACAAATTTGACACAACCAAATATGTGGCGTATCCCTCCCTTGTATGACGAACTACCTTTTTTATAATGATATTTACTTCCTGTTGCGGAAACAAATACCAGATCAGTTATTGATGTTCACCATTATTGACATGCCTACGCGTTATTATATTATTAATCATCATCTCCAAACCATCATCATTTATTCTTTCATACCGTCAAGATTTTTTCGGACGAGTTCGTTTATGAAAGAATATCTAAATTTTAATAATGAATCGTTATTTACATTTGGAAAGAAGAGATATCTTTGTGGCAGGTTACCGCTTTAGAATTACATAATGATGAATAAAATCTTTCCCTAATTAAAAAAAAAAAACATAAGATGTCAACACGAAATAGCAAGTTTTTGTGTCATAAAGTGAGGAAGATAAATTAAATAGTTCGGGCAAAAAAAAAATGGGGCCCAGATACAATAAAATCAGATTCGAGTCATTTTAGCTATTATCATTGTTAAAATAATAATGTGGTCTCACAGTGGTCAAAAGTAAGAGTTTTAAATAATAATAATAATAACAATAAGTATTCTTTGTTACAGATTGCAAATCAACCAAGATTCCTCATTAGACGATCTGAACATGTTTGAAATAATGATAAAGCTGCAAGCACATGCTGTAACAATAAACCTTCCCGCTTTTCTGCACCTCAAGGGTTGCATCATTACATTGACTCCCATCAAACAATCATTTTCTTTTTTTATTCGCTTTTTTAAAATAAAAAATTTCACACCTGATTTCAACTTTAAATTTTTTATTTGTTATTTTATGCTGTTTATGGTGATTTATTATTATGTATGGGCTGATCCATGTCTGAGGACCCTGTAATAACAATTCTTGATTATAATGAAATGAAAAAGAAAATTTTGGTTAGAGGTCACCAAACCGCCATTTCCTTAAAAATGTACCCCATATTTTTTTTCTTAAGGGCTTAAGATATATAAGTAGTAGTCTTGTTCTCCTCCATCAATTCGTCAACATTTACAATCAGCTTACCAAAATTCAACTTTCACTCTTTCTTTTCTTTGATATTTATTCCCTTATATCTAATATTATTTAATCATATGGATGAGGAAACGCGAAATAAATATTGTAATCTCTTAATGTTTGACATGTTTCCTAAATCACACGTCCCCAATCACGATCGATTTAAAGATGAATCCAATTCCTTGATGCCGTTAATGATTGACTGCACCTCATCTTTAGAGAATAGCAAGATTAAGAAAGATAATTTTGTTTTCACTTCGTTCGTGGAACCCGTCAAAATCAACCAAACCCGCACAAAACCCATGAAAAATCAAAAAACCTCAATATCCACATCCATCTCAAACGAAATAATTTTTAATAATATTACGATGACTCAATGTGAACCAGTTGAGGAATGTGCGGATGATATGGTTGTTATTGATGAAACCACTCGAAAAATTGAAGCCAAAAGACCACCAAGACCACCGAATGCATTCATCCTGTATCGAAAAGCAAAACAACCGACGATTGTCAAAGAACGGGGTCAAATTTCCAATAATGAGATCTCAAAGATCCTAGCAACCTTGTGGAAAAACGAGCCCGAAGAGATCAGGTTGCATTGGCGGAAAATCGCGGATAGAAAAAAAATGGAACACATGCAAGCTCACCCGGGGTATATTTATCAACCCAAGAAGAAAGCTGATTTGAATAAGAAAAGTCGAAAACGTCGAACAGCGGTTCCTAAAAGGGAATCGTCCTTGACATCTCAAAATGATTTAATCGAATCCTCAGCTTCAAATGTTAATTGGGAGCATATGACTTTACCAAATGAATATGTTATATCACCTCAAACCGTTTCATGGTCTTATGATGAATCACCATCGCATTATCCCATCCAAATAACATCTCAATTTCCCAACATACCAACTTTATCCGACTACTATACACAACCTCAAGAAATGATTTATGACTTAGGAGGAGGGTATAACGTTCAATATTCGCAACTTGAACCAAATTGCTTAATATCTGCTAACGATTCTTTATTTGCAAATCCGACATGGGAAAGTACTACACAACATAGCGACGGGACAGATCCATATTTTTATTATTTTAATCCTCAAATTATCCCCGAAGAACCACAGCCTTAATAGTGGAAATATTGTCAATTATATTTATATATAATCGAATTTTTTTCACTTGACAACCACAAACAAATTAAGTTTAGGATCTCTCCCTTTTAAATGTTTTTTTATTATTTAAAAATTTCTTCTCCAACCCGAATTCGATTTTCTTTCTTTTCTTTTTTTTTATAAAAAAAAGTTATGTTTTAATAAGATTTGATTATAAGATGCATGCATTATTATATGATTATTGAGAATAAAAATATAAGTCTATGTGATCTAACGGTTAGATCAGAGAATATTGTAAGATAAAAAAAAAAAAAAAAATTTAATAAATAAACAAAAATTAATCGCGATTTGAAAACGATTATTAATTTAGTGAAATAAGACGAGTTAAATCGGTTTAACCAATGAAAGTTTGTACAAAAATTCAAGTACGAATTGTTTTGGTATTCCCTATCATCTTTATGAAATTATTTAGTGATCATGGACAACAGGATCAAGAATACTTCTTCCCTGTCTCAAATAAAAAGAAACGACAGAGAAATTCTCGGTACGGGCATGCTTTTTGATGTTATTCTTTAGGTATGTAATTATGTAAATTTTTCATTGATTCATAATTTCGATATATAGTATAACAATATATACAGTACGTATATATAATTTTCGTGTTTTTCTAGAAGATCGTCATTTATTTGTTACATTCAAAAAAGTAATTTCGGAAATATCAATTTTAAGAGAGACTTATTAAACGATTCAGTTTTTTTTTCTTGCAATTGGTTGAAAATCAGATTGATCATGCATTTAATAAACTAAAATATATTCTACCTTCGCGGGACTTATATTCGCCTAAACAAGCATTACTATTATAATTACTATTATAATTGAGATAGGCGTATAATATTTTCGCTAGACGCATATCGATTTTAAGCATCACCCGATTTTAAGCAACACTTTAAAACAAAACTTGAAAAACAAAAATAAGCATCACCTCAATATTAAAAAAATTAATCAGCTAAATCTCTATCTTTATCTACAATTTCCCTATCATTTTATCAATTTCCTAAAGTATGAGTGTACCAAAAATCATCAATACGGAGCACAAAAAAAAAAAATCCGAAGTATAAAAAATTTCCGAATTTTTCCTATAAAAAAGTGTTGCTTAAAATTGGGAGAATACGGTACGCAGATATGCATGAAACTTCTGAATCACGATTCTCAATGCGATGCTAAGTATAGACTAACGTGTAGATCCCGCGTTATTATTTGAATACAAGATAATATTTACAAAATTTTAAAATAATATTTATTATATAAAAATGTTTCCAAAATAAAAAATAAAAAATGTAATTCTATTCAAATTTTTTATTTAATAAATTACTTCAATTTATTATTACAATTAATTCTCTATAAATATCTTCTTTAAATAAATTTTCTAATTCAATCTCAGTTTGAAACTTAATGCTAAATACATATTTAACATATATATTTATATGATTATACTATACTAATATAATAAGTTGCATCATATAAATTATCATTAAAATTAAAAAATTTAGTTTAAATCAAAATTGAGATTTAATTAATTATAATTCAAATACAGAAATTTTGCATTATATTTTTAATCAAAATATTTAGAATATTATGAGATAATAAAATTACGTAATAACTTTTTCAATTTTCAAATCAAACTTAAAAAATTTATTATAGTAATTTTTTTTAAAATTCATATTTCTCTTAATAATTAAAACATTTTATTATTAATAAAATTTATTATTTTTATTAATCAATTAAATCTTCATAAAACCAATCTCACTCACAATCGATCCATTAGGTTCTTATCATCATGATAAGACCACTTCCTAAGGGATTATCTAGAATAAAATCTAAAGTTAATGAAGCATCTTTTGGCTTCTCATTATCAGATGGAATTGTTTCATAAAGTTTATACAACAAAATCAACAAGTATCAAAAAATTTACTTAAAAAAGTTTATTTCATAAAATTTCCAATTCTTTGCTATGATAAATGCTCTAATATATTCAGAGAATATTTATATTATGGCTGTCTCACGTGTTGTTATTTATTTTAAATAATATCTATTATAAATAATGATTTCTTTTTTATTTCATTTTAAGAAAATTTTGAATATAAATTATAAATATATCGTTAAATGAAGAAGTGATTACCTTCACTATGGCAGATATAATTAAGAATTAGAAAAATAAAAAAAATCTAATAATGTGTTAAAATAATTTGATATGTTATTTATACAAATAGCCAGAACATATTAAAAGGAATTGTCCTAATGGCTTTAATATAATCAGACATCTCAAAAAAAAATCCTGATTGTTTACTCACTATCCCTCTTAATCGCTATTTTATTCTCCAAAAACTAAACTTCTACTTTTTCTACCTTTACCCTTTTACTATCGCTAGTATTTATTCATTCCCTTCACTATCATTCATATTGTCTTCATTTTTATTTTCTTTATCACTACTAGTATGGTCTTTGTATTTAGTTTATTAATAAAAAAGACTATGAATTTATCATTCAATAAATAGGATTTATTTTTATTAGATTAAAGATTTCAAAATAAATAATTTTCTATGCTTTTTGTAAAGCCTGTAAATAAAATTATTTGTTTCTCATAAATATAAATTGTAAAAAGTAACATAGCAGTTCAGGAAAAAAAATATATCATCTTTAATAAATTTTTTCCAACCCAGCGATCCAGATTTGATGCTAAGATTCCAAAGGTTCAAGAAAGCTGTTTCTACAAAATAAGAGGAAAGAATATTAATAAACATTTCTAGAGAAATGCATCCACCCCAAGCCTGTATTACTTATCTTTCCAATCTCAATTCCAAGAGAGTCCGGAAGTCCAAAGGTTCAAGAATGCCGTTCCTACAAAAAAAGAAAAATAGGAATATTAATAAACGTTCCTGAAGAAACACACCCACCCAAGCTGCATTACCAACAATTCTGGAAGCCCTAAAGGTCTACAAGAACCGTTCTTACAATAAAAAAGAAAAATGAACATTAATAAACGTTTCTAGAGAAATACACCCACCCCAAGCCACATTACCAACAATTCTGGAAGCCCCAAAGGTCCACAAGAACCGTTTTTACAAAACAAAGAAAAAGGAACATTAATAAACATTCCTGAAGGAATACACCCACCCCAAGCCGCATTATCAATAATTCTGGAAGTCTTAAAGGTTCACAAAAACCGTTTCTACAAAAAAAAAGAAAAAGGAACATTAATGAACATTCCTGGAGAAACACACCCAGCCCTCACAAAACTTACTTTTTCTATTCAAACTCATAATTCCAAGAGAGTTCGGTCCAAAAATGCCGTTCCTAAAAAAAGGAAGAGGAAAAAAGGGGAAGGTGAGGGAAAGTGGGAAAGTGGGAGTGAGAAAGTAGAAAAGTAAGAGCGAGAAAGTGAGAAAGTGAGAGTGAGAAAGTGAAAAAGTGGAAAAGAGAGAAATTGGGAATACAAAAAAAAAAAAATTTTAAAAAAATATATATAAAAAAACGAATAAAAATTAATAAAAAAAAAATATTTTTTTAAGATGGAAAACTTTGATTAGTTTGACACAGTTGATCATTTTAATTTCTGCGCATATAATTAAAAAATGATAGGTGGGTATTTCATAATGAGTATATATTTCTGGCCAATTTTTCTATAAATGCACTTCCTATATAAATGCACACTTTTGTTTGGTCCTGAGAGGCGTGCATTTATAGAGAGTTGACTGTACTTAATTTTAATTTAACTTATTTTAGACACAAAATCAGATTAAAGCTTTTGATAAATTTAATGAATACTATATTGAATCCTCTAAAATTGATATTAAAAAGTGTATAAAATACGTTTTATAAGCATAGATAATATTATAAATAAAACAATTGAAAATTGTTAGGTGAAAGCAGATATTTTACCTAAAGATAATCATAAAAATAAGAATGAAATCAGTAATGATATATTATTTAAACTTAAATAGTTAAAGGAGATAAAAGAAATTCAAGTATTAATTAATAAACTAGATTTTGACAATCCTTTTTCTGCCGAAGAATTTGTTAAGTATGATAAGTCTAAAATTATAAATGAAATGATATTTGATAAAGAAATTTTAAAAGCAGTTTTACCTAATCAAGAAGATAAAATAGAGGCAGATTCTTTATTACCAATAATTACTTCTGAAGAAGTTATTAAAGCTTATAATAAAGTAATTTTATATTTGAAGCAACTAGAAAAAACATTTGGTATGAAAAAAGAAGTGTTAAGGTCTATTAAAAGCTTAGAAAAGAAGCTTTAAAATAATAGTTTATCTCTTTAAAACAAATTAATCTTGATAAATTTATTATTATAATAGAATAATAATTTAAAATTATCATAATAACAGTTAATAACGTTTATGATTTAGTTTTTTTTACTTTTTATACTTTTATGAAATAAAATAACATCATGATTATATAAAATTTTGATGTATTAACTTAATAACATCCCTGTGATCATGTTAAAATTTTGTTAAAAATTGTGTTGAGAAATCACATTGTTTTATTAATTTTTAACCAATTTTTTGTTAAACTTGTGTTAAAATTGCTTATTAATTTTTTTACTAAAATGTGATAAATAATTTTATAATAATTTTATTTATCACTAAGGTAATAATTTATTATTGTTGATCTACTTTGATTATCTGATGTATTATATTTATTAATTTACATAAGTTATTTTTGGATTGATCTAATTTTATAAATAATATGATATATTATTATTTTAACTTTTATTTTTAATACAAATTAGAATTTTAATCACAAAGAATTCTTTTTGTATTATTTCAATCATAAATTTTACTTGTTATATTTGGATTGATCTAATTTTATAAATAATATGATACACAATTATAATACGATGCTTAAATTATTATTTTGATTTTTTGTTTTTAATACAAATTAGAATTTCAATCATAAGTAAAGAATTTCATAAGATATCAAATTAAATAAATAAATATATTTATAAAGAGAAGTATTTTTACCATCGTATAATTTTTTACTTTTTGAAATTTAATTCTACCTTTAAATCACTTTAATTTACTCCTTTATATCATATTTTTTTACAAATACAAAAATGACTATAAGAATAATTTAGGAGGATAATAAAATAGATTTATTAATTGAGAAAAGAAGAAGAAAAAATGAAGAGTATCATGTAAGGTACAGAAGTAATAAAATGGGATTCTAAAAAAGTATAGCTTAATGAATCAATCAAAGATATAATACAATATATTCAACTTGCTAATGCGAGTTGAAATGAAGGAATCTAGTACAAGATTATAACGTAAGTAAATAAATGAATAATAATATAATGATAAATAACTTTATAGTATAATTGATGTCTTTTAGGACTTTTGCAATTATTAAAATGAAGCAATAAAAGGTGAAAGATAAACTTATACTGTGAAAAGATTATACAATCTCTTCAGAACTTGATTTTAGAATAGGTTATGTAATAATTAAAAATGTTTAAATGATTTTTTAGATTTATATAAATATATTTACTTTTTAGAATTGAGACATACTTGTAGGAAAAATCGTAATTTACCTACTATAAAGCAAATATAAAATATAAGACAAACCTGTAATGAGCCTGCAAGGTAAAACTGAAATAGATAGTGAAATTGTGACATATCTGCAAGGCTTATAAGACAATAAAAAATTTCATTTTTTTTCGTATTATTTGTTTAATTTCATTTTTTTTCATATCGTTCATTTAATTTCATTTTTTCTTTTTATATCATATATTTAATTTTATATTTTCTTTTTGTTTTATTTTCTTAATTTCATTTTTAGTTTTATTTCATTTTTCTGTTTTGTTTCATTTTATAGTTTCTTTTTGTTTGTTTAATTTCATTTTTTTATTTCATCTTATTTACTTAATTTCATTTTATAATTTTATTTTAGTTTTTTAATTTCATTTTTCGTCTTATCTAGTTTTCTTTTCATTTTATTTATATTTTTTTCTTTTCTTTTATTTTTATTTTATTTTATTTTAAGAAAAATTTAAGTAAATTAAGAAAACTATCATATAACAATTAACAGATTATATATACAAAATAACATGAAAATATTTCTAGAAAAATTATATCATAGTAAATTATATTTGTATAATGAAATCAGTAATCATCTACTATAATAAATTATTCGTTATACATACTGAATAATTCAGTATACATTAATGAAGATTCTTATAATGAAGGTCTAATCAGTTGGATTAATAACTTATTATATCAAGGCATAACTGTAATAGTTTTATTATAGATAGAATAAATAAATAAAATTTATATTTTAAGTTTTTTATAAATTTTAATATATTATTTTATACATTTTAATTGATTAACAAAGTAGTTAATAATTAGATAAGTTTAATTATCTAATTATTTATTTGAATTATTTTGGATTATATGTAATTATCTAATATTTAATTATTAATATTATCAGAGACTATATATTTTTTAATAAGTTATTATTTTTATAATATTAATTAAAAAGTTTTTATCAAATAGATTTGTTATAATTTATAAAATTAATTATTATTATTATAAATAATACTTAAGTTATATAATAAGAATATTAATATCTTAATAGTTTAAAAATAATTTGAAATTTCGCTAATATTTAGTATAAACTAAATTTTGTTATTCAAAATAATTAAAATTATATGTTTTTATCAAAGAATTTTTGCAATTGATTTATATTATTAATTGAAAAGTTTTTACTAAAAATAAAAGAATTAATAAAATATAAATAAATAAAATTTCTAAAAAAAAATAGAATAATTAATAAATACAAATTTCAAAATATAAGTTATTAAAAATACAGTAGCAGTCATAAATATCTGACCGCCTCTAACTCCAGCTACAAGTAAGTAAATTCAAAATTTTTTTTTTATTTAAAAAAATACATAACCAACTAACTAAAGTTTTCAACACCCTTGAAACGTTCTTCTTTCGGCATTTTTGAGCTGATTTGATATGACGAATTTGCCGAATTTGATGAACTTTTGAATTTTGATGGATCAAGTCCTTTAAGAACAGTGTTTTAATATGAAGTATGTATTAATATTAAGTACAGTTTCAATATAATAATTATCATAATAATATTAAAACTTATATATACCTAAACATTCGGCGATAGATACATTATCAATTCCATCAACATGTTCGCATAATCTAGATACCGAAGCATGAACTTGTTGTTTTAAGTACCAATCATGATCTAAATATATATATATATATATTGTAAATTATTTCTATATTATAAAAAAATATTGCAATTATATGAAATGTTACCAATTTGTAGATTAGATCCGCCTATTTCATCGGGATGAAAAGCTCTGTCAGCAATACTTTTATCAGATTCTTCAGTCGTTAGGCAAATGACATATGGAATAGTATCTCCCGTTCGAGGATTTAATCCTTTCGTTTTCATTCTCAATGCAACTTGCACGTGGGGTTGAATTTTAACATCAGGATAAGCTTCGGGTGGCTTTGCAAGATTCTATTAATGTAATAAAACAAAAATTTAATGAAGTATCCGAATGTTATAAGGAAATTTCTTACGATTTAAACTTACTTTATTTATTATAAAGGAATAAATAGGGTATTTCCCGGAACGTGTGTGCTCTCCCACTTCTCTCAAGTAAGCATGAATATTATTAACTACTACTTCTCTATCACAAGATGATAAAATTTGGTCTAAAATATATCTATAAAAAAAGTTATAAATTACTCACAAATGAATTTTTTTTAAAAAATGTTATTAATAATAATTATACATGCCTTGAAACTTTACGCACCAAGTCACACCAATCTCTTCTAACCAAATCGAGACCTTTCATTTCACACGAACGTTTCAAATTACCGTTTTTTTCTTCAATAACGATTGCCGCATATTTTTTCTTCTTGAGCAGAAGTAATTTCTCAAAATACCCATCGATTTCAAGTTCAACCAATTTGTATCGCTCGTTGACTTTCTTCTTTAAGATATTACCAACTTCTGATGCTTCTCTTATATCTGTTGCTCTAGTGCTAATCATAATTGAATCCGTATCTCCATAAATGACCTTAATAATACATAAAAAAAAAAATATATCAATACAGATCATTCAAGGGTTAAATTCTGTTAAACAAAATAATAATAATAATAATAATAATAATAAATTTAAATCACCTCCATCTTTTCGCTCTCAGCCAACTTGACAGTATTTTCCAGGATCTCACGACCTTTAGAAGTGATCAACATAGCTAACGGTTTGGCATAAAACCTGGAGAAAGGAAAACCCAAACAACCATACATACTATTTGCTGTAAGTTTAAGAGCCTTTTGACGAATATCATACTATTATAGAGAAAAAACAATTAATATTAATGAACACCTTAAATTAAACGGTGCTTATAAAGATTCAACATACTTCGACAAGTTCGCTTGGGGTTACTTTTGGATCCTTCATAAGATTTTTTACCATTCTTCTTCGCTCAACTAAATTCGCAATCAGTTTAGGGAGAACACCCTGTGGTAAACTCGAATCAGGTACCTCAGGAGTAATATCATCCTTCTCCTTTGATTATAATATAAGATATAAATAAACTATTTATCTTCCTTATCTCACAATATATTTTATATATATACACATTACGAAATTTAAGCTCACCATTCCAACTCTGTCTACTGTAGTAAAGCATATATTATATTCTTGAATAATTGAAGGGTATAAGCTGTTAAAATCCAAAAGGACAACGTAATTATCATAAAATCCTTTCTTAGGCTCTAGCACAAGACCTCCAGCGTAAGTAGGTTTTTTTCGTCCACTCTTTTTGGTTTCGGTCTGCTCATCTTTAAAAGAGATGGGTAGAGATATTTAGACTTGGAGAAATATACAAGTTGATTCAAGATATTTTTACCTTCAACATTCGTATTAATTTGCTCTTGATTTTTCTTATATTCTTTGTCTGGACAAATATATTTGTGTTGATGAAATTCGTGTAGGAGAAGAAATTCATTACGCTCTGCTCTAGCTCCAGCAAGAGTTTTTGACCTTTTATCAATATTGTTCGATAAAATACATAAGCATATAATTTGAAATTATAAATTCAGCGAAGTAAACAAAGAATATCGTCCAACTGGACTTATATACCATATATTGCCAGCCAAATTCGTCAATTGTTTAGTAAGGAGCAGTATCTGAAGCTTGAGCATAAGTTCTGCTGTGAGAATAGCATCATTCCAGCAATGACATACTAGATATAATAGATCCTTAGCTCGTCCGTAATACGTTGAAAATTTATCATATTCAATGTCTTTTCGAAGTTTGCCTAATTGTGACGAAACAAGTTCCGTCAATGAATAGTTTTTGGATTTAATAAGATCCTAATGATCATAAAAGCTTGTTAGACATATGTACGTTGAAATATATGCAAATAATAGTCATAAGTTTCTTACTTTTGCATTTAGATAGGTATCGCAAATCAGTCGACCGTTTACGATCGATTTTTCTGCGAAGGATACCTCTGACCCACTATGTTGCCTTGGCCATCTAAAATAAAATATTATAACTAGTTAAATAATTTGAATGTCCATACATTTTCGCAATAAACAATTATAAATTTGCGACTTACTCATGTCTTCGAAATCTTCCAAGACAAGACCAGTCTTTAATCTTTAGCATCTTTAAACGATGTAACAAAACATCAAGGTCAAATCCAATAAAATTATGTCCAACAAAAATGTCAGGATCGTACTGTTTGATGAGTGCTGTTGAAGTTTTATAAAGTTTTATAAATATAAGTAATATATATATCTCTCATCACATAGAATTTAAAATCCCAACCTAATAAGTAATTGATTAACGAAAATTCATTCGTTTCCAAATTTAAACGAAGTCCTTTTTGCTTTTCTTCCCTTACGAGCTCTTCGAAAGAGCGAGGCCAATATCGCTGGTTATTCAATTGACGAATTGCAGAATATTGTGTAGGATGCTGTAACTGTTCGGGCGGAACGGTTTCGTCCAATGATACTACATTTCAAATTAATTAATTAAATAAATTGTTATGAATATCAAACGTTTAGTTGAAAATTTATGATAAAAAACATTTCAAAACCTTTTGGATAAAATCGTACGCTAAAAGCAACTATTTCGTTAACTTGCTTTTGTTCATTTAATATTGTCCTTAAACTTAATGACATAATTGTTAATGGAGGTGGTTTAATATGCTCGGTCAAATTCGATTCATTCAAAGGGTTAATGCTTTTAGGGTCTTCAACGAGAAGCTCAAGTTTACACCATGAAATCTAAAAATGTACTAACGTAAATATATGTACTATAAAAACGTTATAATTCACTATAATACCCACTTTTGAAGTTTCTACCAACGAATCTTTTATTTCCAACCAACATGGGCCTTTAATTTTGCGTTTCAATAAGAATAACTCAAGTGCAGAAGTATTCGTACCAAAAACACGACTAAAGGTTTTTCCACTCAAGTTCTTAGGTAAAGCTTCCTCTATTGATTATTAATCATAAAAATGGATTGTAATATAATAAATTTATGATCCATAATGTGATTTTAATAGCATAGCACTCAAATGATTTGTGCGAACTTAGAGACTTACGTTTAAACGGGTACATCACTTTCAAGTATTGTGTTTCTGCAGGAACGTCTGGTAATTCAAATCCGTATCTACGGCGGACTGGTTTCGTGAAAAGTTGCAAAACCTTTAATTCCATGTTAACATAATTATAAATTTCGCTACCAACATCTTCCATTGTCACTTCACTTTCAGTTTCATGATCATTCTCTGTAAATTTTACGTAAAATAGAAATAGATTAATACAATAATTACTAATAATTAATTAATTCAAACGTTAATAATTAAAAAAATACCATCAAGTTTTTTTTGTCTTGGCAATACGAAAATGTTTCTATGGATATTTTTGACAGTGACGCAACAACTTATATATGAATTGCATTTACTATCAAACACCTAATAAAATGATTCACGTGTAAATAAAACGCAAATTATTATTTCTTATTAACTAAAATTTAATTAACTTACTTTCCCAACTATATATACTAATCCGGCCTTTTCGATTGCATCTATCCAAAATAATTGGTAACAATTATTTGATTGATGATCTATGGGACTTTTGACTTGATCATTTAAGGAACTATTCGAGTTTATCGGTTGATTTAAAGAGACATTATCGAATTTGTTTTGATAACTAAACTCATTGTCAAACGAAGACTCTTCTTGAATAAAGTTCTCTTGTTTATCATCAACAATTTTGTTTTGATAACAAAATTCATTGTCAAATGATATCTCTTGCATCGATTGAATGAATTCCTTATCTATGGGACATTTGACTTGATCATTATTCGAATTTATCGGTTGATTTAAAGAAACGTTATCGAATTTGTTTTGACAACTAAATTCGTCGTCAAATGAAGGCTCTTCTTGAATAAAGTTCTCTTGTTTATCATCAACAATTTTGTTTTGATAACGAATTTCGTTGTCAAACGAAGACTCTTGATTAGATTTCTCTTGTTTATCAACAATTCTGTTTTGATAACGAAATTCATTGTTAAATGATATTTCTTGCATCGATTGAATGAATTCTTCGTGCTCATCATCATCATCATCTAACCCTTGTAGAAGATCAGACATGAATTCGGATTCTTCTTTGGTAGACTTTGTCTAAAAATTTCAAATAATATTATATAATACGATTACCCATCAAAAAAAAAAAAAAAAAAAGGTACGTACATTTTTAGGTTTTGTCATTTTACTTGAAATGGCTGCACGTAAAAAGTAATTGTTGATAGTTGTATTGGGTTTAACATCAGTTATGTTCTCTAAAGATTTTCTTTTTCGTTTCCCTGTAAGTCAAGAATTTTCGCAAAATATTCATAATAATGTAATGGTAAAATAAACATTCATATAAAAAATACGCGTAAAATAAATCATTACAGCAAAGAAAATAAAAATTTTCATTTACAAACCATCTGCTGGATCATCCTCATACTCCGAATCATCAGTATATTTTTGTCCCAAATCATCTAATTCTTCTGTTATATATTGAGTGCCATCATCATTGACGACCATTTCTGTCACTTTCTTAACTTCGGATTGATAAATTTCTTCTGTAACCTCATCATAAATGATACTTGGCTCTTGAATCTTTCAATAAAGAAATTTGTTACACGGATCTAACATAAGTGACGCGAGAATATCTATATATTTACACAATTTATACCTCATATTCTTGAAGACGAGACCCTCCTTCTTCCCGTAAACGGCGAAGTGTTTCTAAAGCACGTCTCTTGGACAAAGTCATGGCTTATATTTTGTTTTATAAAATCAAAACATCCAACGTGTTTTCACGTTTGATTTAAGAAATATAATTCAGGTTTATTAAGCTATTTGCAAAAATAATAGATAGTTTTCAATTTTTTAAAACAGATCGAATATCTTTCGCGAAAAGTCGAGTATAACGATACGACGCGTTAGAATTTTATTATACTATGTTGATCCTTAATGTTGCACAAACCTAATTCTGACTAAAATTAAATTTTGTTTTATTGAAAAACAATTTATATGTAACTTATTAAATAATAATACTGGTATATAGTTGTCGCACAAATTAGTTGAAGGCTGAGATACAAACTCAAATAGTTTGAAAATACCTCAAATTTTAAATTCAAATTTTTCAAATATCTCAAAATCTCTAATACTACTAAACTTATAAAATTTTATCAATACAGTCAGGGAATTTACCAAATAAGGAAACGAGTTCTAGAATGATCTACATGAAAATCTCGAAATCTGATTGGCTGTTACACAAATGTGATCGACATCCATTTCTTCATTTTTTCAAATTTCATTGTGGCTTAGATACCATACGAATAGATAGTAAAAAAGTCTTAGTTTTCATAATCATTCTTAATTCTTCGGGATCAACTCTTTTTAAAAAAGTAAATGAGAACTGAAAATAAGGAATTTGCATTGCATTTTAGTTAATTAAAGCGAAATAAAAGTAATTGGCATATTTTTTTTTTAACTAATTTATTATTTTAAATATATATTTTTTTTTAGTGTCTGCTTACCAAAAGCCAATAGCAAGAGACATTCCATGCATTTTCATGGATTTAGTTGAAAATTATAGTAAAATTGGATTAAAAACCTGTGAAATTAAAGAATCACAAGTCTGGCGGCATGCTAGTAATCCAGAAATAGCTAAGCGACTTATACTTTATCATGATTATCTTCCTGAACTTATTAACTTTCATTCTTTTTTAGAATCTTATTCAATTTGCGAAAGACACTATAATCAAACCATTGCTAAAAAGCAATTTTATCAATCCCTTACAGAAAGATCAAAAACAAATTTTGTTGAACAAACAAGAACAGTATTTATAGCATCTGATGTATATTACCCATCATTAAGAAGAAGGGTTAGTTTCAGAAGAGAGCGAAGTCTAGACTAAAGGATTCATTCCATTCAAAGAAAAGATAATAGCATTGATTGTCATTATTCCAATCCAATAGTTGAAATTAAAAAAACTAAAAATCTTTTAGAACTTAGTCAATTAGAAAATCAACGGAACTTGTAATTGATAACAGATCTTAACAATCAAATTGCACAAATGCAGCAGCATATGGAATATCAAAGAAAGAAAATAGAAGAATTAAAGCAAAAATTACAAAGAACTTATGATTATGCGGCTGAGTTTTAAAATTTATATGAAGAACAATATAAAAAGAATGATATTCTCATTGAGCAGTGAGATTTGCGATTTGATAATCAACAAAAACGGATTAATGCAATTACTGAAATAGCAAAGATAGAACAAGAGGCATTATTCAATGATATAGAATCATTGATCAGAGATAATGAAAGATTTTCTGTAGAGAGTCTCATAGCATACACTCTGTGAGAATGACTCAATAAGCGTAATTAGGTTGCTGTTAAATTTATTGAAACTCTCACTTATAACAATTAGAACACTGATACATTGAGTCAGGAAAAGGTTTTCAAAACTGCTGTTGCAGTTGATGCAATATATGGAGCACAACATAGAAAATATATATCAGAGATCCAGCTTGCAGCCTCAGCCATCAAATATTCAATTGCACAATCGAAGATGATAATTACTATTGATAATCATATTACAAACTCAGGAAGCTATTGTCAGTTCCAAAAGTAGCTAGAAATAAACAAATATTTTGATTTTTGTGATTACAATTGAAATAGGTGTTATGAGTTTAAACAAAGATGCATTATATAGGTTCGTTGTCAACAAAATCAAGGTCTGAGATAATTTTATAATTTTTGATAAAAAGCAATCAAAATTTACCCCTGATTTTTAAAGAGTTGTCAGAGCATGAAGAACCATTACCTGAAAGCCTTTTATTTCTTGCGTTCGACAATAAGCAAAAAGGACAAAAAAACTATCTCAATCAAGGATCTAATACAGTTATTTTCCATATTGTTACCAGTTTTGTTATTTTTAACATGGTATTACAAAATAAAATTCAACATACTAACTCACCTTGGTTGTATCATTCTCTTAACAGGTTACAGTATAAAGAGCTTTTTGATATTAATCCTCAAATGCAAGATGTTTTTGATAAAGAATTATATGATTATCTTTCTGAGATTTTTAGTTTGTTGTCTGAAGAAAAATCATCCTTTACTAATACTATTAACTCTTTAATAGCATCTGCAGGAACTAGCATCACCAATATGAAAAAGTGTTCTAATTGTCTTCAAAAAAATATTGAGAATCAGAAGCAGACATGCTCAAATTGTAAAACACAACTACCAACGTTATCAGAAATTCGAAAAGAAAGAGCAGTTAATATTGAAGATGGAATCATTAACCGCTCAACACCATCAACAATGCCACTTATTTTTAAGCCTTATAATATTAACAATGAATTAAGTGCTATTCCTACTCCTTAGATCAGTCTTACTCAGCAACCAGCTGATCATGAAGTTAATGTCCCAGAGATTTATATTTCTGATCTGATTAATATAAATCCTAACTCAATTGCGAATGTTGAAAAGGTTCTTTTTCATATAGAAAAAATATCAGGTATTAAGGATAAGACTCGTAAATGGCTAGCGGTAGGCTTGTGATGGTGTTTTATATCATTATACCACAAAGTTGAAAGAAAAGTTCCCTTAGTTAGTTCTTATACCAGGACAATTATATGAGAAAATGAATATGCTTTGAGCATATGTTGAGTTAAATTGGAAAATCAATTTGAAACAATTTGCAATATGTCAAGGTTATCGAACAGACAATCAACTGACTTATTTTAAAAAATGTATAGATCATCATAAGTCCTGGGATTCTATTTGTAATATATATCATCAAGCAATGGCAATGAAACTTATGTGATCATATGTGAAAAGTCATGTTAACCCCTCAATTAAAGGATATTTGGCTTGGATCAAAGAACAACAAAATCTAATTTATCAGCTAAAATATGAGCAAACATTTATTTATTTTCAGGTAATCATCAATTATCGAAAAGCCATAAGAACTAACAATCCATTTTTAAAAAGAACTGCTAAAAGGTCATTCTCTCCAATTTGATTCGCAAGACGTCATCCCATTTACCGTCTAATAGAAGTTTCTGATGAAGTGCAATCTATGCAGCTCCGTCCAGAAATATATGAGATCATCGAAAAAAATAGTGTTGTATCTAGATCAGGCCTTTATGAACAACATCAAGGGTTAGATGTGATTATTGAGGAAGTAAACAAGGCCTTGAAATCTTTGATTCCTCCTATCCCTCAATACCACCATTAGAAAATTGCAGCACAAAAATGTAAAAAATTTATTGAACTTAGAGATAATTTATTTAAACTAATCAGTTATAATGATTCTACATCAGGACCAAGGACTCGGTCAGAAGCAATAATAGAATGTCAAAGATTTCATGTCAAACTGAGGGATTATGAATTCATTAATTCTATGAATATAAGAACTATTTGTCAAAGTCTAGAAGAGGAATATGAATTAAGCATACATTTAAATAATTTCATATATTTAGCAAAATAGGCTTAAAAAAATTATATTATTGATGTATTTATTAATAAAAAACCATCTCCTTTTTTTAGGTCAATACTGATAACAAAACAAGAAACAGATACGTAAGAAAATAAAAAAAATATGAATAAGGCAGAAATTTTATTAAAGATCGAAACTCTTCTTGAACAACTTGATGAAAATACTCAAAAAAAATATCTTGGATTAGGATCAAAAAAGCAAGGCGAATTATTAGATATATTACAAGAGATAAAGCATTTATTTACTTCGAATAATGATTTTAATTCAGAATAATTTATATTTTATTTTATTTTTTTTTATTTAGGCACTTTTTCTGACGACCATTTTTTCGATCTGCATTATATAAAATGTCATGCCAAAAGTTAGTAAAAATAGAATAATCAAAGTTTCCTAAAGAACTGGTATTCCAATTGAACCTTTCTTTCTATTCAATTTATTACAATTAATTCAAATTTTTTTACTTGATATTTTTATTGTAAATAAGTAAATAAAGTTTTTATTTAATTTTAATTTTGACTAATAATTTTCCGAATTGCAAATTTTTCAAGTATATGTTGATCAGAGTGTTAATATTTCTAAAGATGCTTATGTTGCGATATTAACACAGTGTTGACGTGTGAATTTATTAGTAAAAATGTATTATCGTTGCGGTATTGTCATGGTATAGTTATAGGATAATCTTTGTGACTCTGTCTTCAGTTGGCATTAATGCTTTGTACAAAATTTAGTCTTGAGACCTGAAAAATTTACTGTATCACATTATGAGTTAGAAGTTTATTTAACAAATCGCAGATCAAATTTTGCAACACACTCTGACGCGAATTTATTCAGAAATTATATAGAAAGTTATTAGCAATCTAACACATATAGTACAGTAACAATTTTAAGAGAGTAAAATGGCATCAGCTAAGAGTTTTATTTGAGAAAATACAAGTACAGAAACTACAATAATAATAATAATAGTAAAAAAAAAAAGAAAAGAAATACAGATGGAAAAGATAATAACTCAGAGAACAAGTAAACTATAATTAGCAAGTACGTACGTCAATGTGAAAATAACATTGAGTAAACTATGGTTAGCCAAAACGTACGTTGCTCTGTGCATCAAAATAAGTTAGTAAGAAGTATAATGAGAAGAATGCGACGAATAAGCAAAATGAAATTGTTTACTTCTCTGCCGCAACAAAGTATCCAAAGAGCGCCATGACATTTAGACCTCTTCTAAACGACGAGCTAGAGCTCGATTTTGGTCCTT